AAAGGACCTAAGCCTTGTTTAGAAATAATGTGTTGTCGTGGCCGAGTGGTTAAGGCGATGGATTTGAAATCCATTGAAGTTTCCCCGTGCAGGTTCAAATCCTGCCGATAACGGGAAGTGATGTCTTCTTTTATCAACAACTCTCAGCGCAGATTCGAATCCTTCGAGTCTTCTTTTTTCAACAACCTAAAAGGTGTCACGTGAACAAGGACCTAAGCCTTGTTTAGAAATAAGTTGTTGTTGTGGCCGAGTGGTTAAGGCGATGGACTAGAAATCCATTGTGGTCTCCCCGCGCAGGTCCGAATCCTGCCGACAACGGGAAGTGATGTTTTCTTTTTTCAACAACTCCCAGGGCAGATTCAAATCCTTCGAGTCTTCTTTTTTCAACAACCTACAGGGTGCCACGGGATGTTTACGTCTTTGACAAAAGAATCGAAACCATGTTTTATTCAGAAAGCCAATTTTTCCATACACTCCAATGGACCTAAGCCTTGTTTCATTCGTTACTTATTACAGAAAGCTAAACAGGATCCAAGTGATACATTATGAAGGAAAATGTGTTGTCGTGGCCGAGTGTTTAATGAGATGGACTAGAACTACATTGGGGTCTCCCCGCGCAGGTTCGAATCCTGCCGACAAAGGGAAGTGATGTCTTCTTTTTATAACAACTCCCAGCGCATATTCGAATCCTTCGAGTCTTCTTTTTTCAACAACCTACAGGGTGTCACGGGATGTTTACATCTTTGACAAAAGAATCGAAACAATGTTTTATTCAGAAAGCCCCTTTTTACCACACACACCAAAGGACCTAAGCCTTGTTTAGAAATAATGTGTTGTTGTGGCCGAGTGGTTAAGGTGATGGATTTGAAATCGATTGGGGTTTCCCCGCGAATGCTCAAATCCTGCCGACAATGGGAAGATTTTTTATTCAGAACGTCCCTTTTTTCCACACGCTCCAAAGGACCTAAGCCTCGTTTCATTTGTTACTTAGTACAGAACACTAAACAGCATCCAAATGATACGTTGTTAAGAAATACTGAGTGGTCAAGTGGTCAAGGCTATGGATTAGAAATCCATTTCCGATTCTGTTCTTGTGACATTGCATTGAACAGTCAAATAAACTTGTAAGAACATTGAAGTTCATCCAATATCTCTTTTAACTTCTTTTCTTCTTACTTTGCCCCATTAAAACATCAAGAAACATCATTAAAGTAGTCAAGAAACTATGTGTTGTTTACTTTTAAGCTTAAAAAAGGATTTTTGAACAGAATAAAATGCTGCTTAAATCAGAATAGGTCAATATAAATATAGTCACTGACCTCTTGTGATAAATCACTTTCCCAATTTCACCTTCAGAAGAAAAGGAAACAGAAACCAGGGTCATGTGGGATTCTTAACAGTTGGTTCTGCTACTAATCATCATTGCTGGAGTCATCCTTTTTTGGTCTCTCAATGTGGATATTAAACAAGATGTGAGTACATACTTTTAAGCAAACCACATTTATATCCAACAGGATGGGAATATTGGGGAGATCTCTCTAACCATCATATGTTCTTACAGATTTGCAGCTCAGAAAAACAAAAAGGATTCGCTTTCCAAACGATGCAAACAAAAGACGAACGAGACACTGCCTGCTATCCTAAATCCTGTGTTTAAGTGACGCTTCTCATTATGAAGCAAGGTTTCACACACCTTGCTGCATTATATATTTCCATATTTCCAGTTCGTTTCAAGAGTGACAGCTCACAGAAAATTTGGAGAGCAACAGAACCACTGAATATTAGGCAGAAGTCTTCTCATACTGTTAATGTTACTGTTGTTGTTTATAGATGTTTTTACATGCCATTATTGTAATGTTGGTTATTTTGAAAGTATTATTGTAAAGTTTTTTTTTTACTTTTCTAAAGCCAGTGCTATCGGATCTACTTTACATTTTAGTAAAATAAAATGTGGCAATACAGAAAGAACCATTTCACGAGTTTCATTTGTTACTTAGTACAGAATACTAAACACGATTTAAGTGATATAATTTTATGTAACAGTGGTTGTCGTGGCCGAGTGGTTAAGGCGATGGACTAGAAATCCATTGGGGTCTCCCCGCGCAGGTTCGAATCCTGCCGACAACGGGAATTTTTGGTACTAGTCCTGCCAATTCTATTCCTGCGAACAGTCGAATAAACTTCTAGGTACATTGAAGTTGATCCAATCTCTATTTTAACTTCTTTCCTTCTTACTTTGCCCCGTTGAAACATCAAGAAACATCATTAAAGTAGTCAAGAAACTGTGTGATGTAGAATCTGAACCGAACGTCCGACATTAATGTAATTACGGTAAATAGTGGCCATGTTGCTGTGTGGCGTTTCAAATACATGTACTCATTTTTCACTTTGGGCACCTGACCCTCCAAAGAACTCTGCCCGGCCCTGATTATGAGTTCCAACAAATCTTATAGATTTGTGAATAAAAAGTAAAACACTACTGGTTATTACGGTGTGCTGCTGAATGACGCGTGACCTAACCAAAATCACTGCGCATGTGTGGAAAACAAACTGTAGTGCTAAAAATGTCCTGTAGGTGTCGGTCGTGCACCATGCAATTCCAATGGGCAGATTACGTAGCCTTGGACGAAGAATTGGCATTTTCTTTATAATCTTTAAAATTGGAAATGCTCTTTCTGATCTCATCACGACCACAGAAAATTAAAATAATCCAAGCAGATAGTGGCTCATATAGAAATCAAGTTCTGGTTGTTAAGCCAAAATAATTAGACCTTTTACATATACATTTTTTTTTGCAATTTTGGCAGTTGCTTCGTACATTAATTCCTGTTATGTCATTTAGCTTGAGCCTCCAGAGAATCACAGCGATGTTAAATAATACAGAGCAGGGTGAAGGGAGGGATTATAGATGGAAGGAAAGGTAGGACAAAATGATTTGTGTTTTTTTTTTCGTGTTACTTTCACAATTTTTTTGCTTGCAGTGACATTTACCTCTTACTCCCCTTATCCTGTTTTTTTTTTTTATTTTATTGGAAAGCCCACCTTCACCTTGTCACCTTAAAGAAAATCATGAACCCATCCTGTCTTGAAGCCCAGTGAAAAGTGGCCACATCCAGTCGTTTCAATAAAAACATGGCTCAATTTTTGGTCTGCTCTATTGCTAGGCATGCACTAGTATCTTATACGTACTTGTAATCTGTAATTCTGTATAGATACTTGAATTTTAATTCTCTAATCAATACAAATCTTTAATGCCTTTCAAAAACAAGCCTGTGTTTGTGTTTGTGTGAGCTTTCCTTTGACTCATCAACCTACTCCTCTTGCATCATTGTCTCTGGATGTAAACAATAATCAGCCATTTGTGCATGGTACGTTGACAAATCTGCGGTCAATGTTTTGTGAATGGAGAAATTAATCCCTTGATTCTCTAGATTCTTCTGGTGGGGAGTGCCTCATTGAAATAATTTTACAGGCCAAAGACCTAAATAACCTAAAATTTGAAAATTTTGAAAAAAATTTGGTTAACATCATATTCAGGGACAAGGCATTGAAGTGTGGGCGAAAACATAGTGCACGCCTTACTGGTATTGCATTGTGTTTGCAGAATGTAACTGTAGGAACCATTTGGTTCATTTTCATAAATACAGATTCTTTATTATGGAACATATAATAAACATTAATTTTATATGTTTGGTGGCATGGACATGGTCGTGTGCATAACAAGGTCAAACTTACCAACCTAGGCAGCCTAATGGTTAGCTGCTACCGTATCCATTAAGATACAAACATCATGGTGATATGATTCCACTAAAAAAGTGGAACAATGTGGTTAACTTGTGTTTACTTTTTTATAACCCAAGTTACCTCCTGGTGAATCCTGCCATATTACAGAATATATGTTCAGATTGATTGTGAATTACAAATTGATATTTTGCAGGTTTACTTTAGCAACATAGGATAATGATACAAAACATTCCAAAACAAATTTTAAGCCTTGCATGAAAATGAAAATTTACCATAATAACCAAGTATCGCCTGGAGCTTCTCAGACCTAAAAAAATATTGACAAAATTAAAAAGACCCCGCCCTCTAACTCCCTTTCCAGTCTTCTCCAAACTTTCCACGGCTCTTTTCAACTGCTGTCAAATTACTTGTTCAATCTACATCTGAAAATCTGTCATCATTTTCTTCCTCTTCTGCTGTATTTTCTTTCACAAGTCAAGTATTATCTTTGTCAATACATGCAGAATGCATAAAGACGGAGTGAGGAGGATTTGTAGGTCAGAATGGTGGGAGAAAACCCACCGGTGGGTTTGTTATGGTGGGTTTGTATAACTCCCTAAGGCACAAAATCTCAGCTGAGGCTCAAACTCAATCCAGTTTCCAAAGGTTAGCAGAATTTTATTAGCAAAATCAATTACAGATAGTTACTCACATACTCTATATAAACATCAGGATCAAAGGGCATTGTGTGAACTTTATTTCAGGAAATGACATAAAACAAATCTGCTCTACTGAAACACAAGGGAAAACAAACACCTGACTGTCAAGGGCCAAATTCAACTTACAGGCTTTTTGTTCCCGAGGTTAGCATCTTTTTGCTGGAATGTTTGTAATAGAATAGTCTCTCTGTCTGCCTGCACCCAAACAGAATTGACAGCAGACCTAGTTCTAATGGAATGTATAGGATGGCTCTTGCTGTGCAGTTGGTCTCTGGAACAAGGAGCTGGAGCAGAAAAGCAATGTAAACGTTGGTTTTATCTGAGTGTGTTCTGTTCATTGTAATAGTCTCGATGAGGGTTGCTTCAGGTTTATGTGACTGATGGGCCAAGAAAGACAAATTAAAAGTCAGCAGGCTTTTATTGGTTGTTTAGGATCTGCCGAGGTCTGCCATAACCAGTCATGCCCGCCTGTGATGCCCCTTTGTTGGTGCCCATTTGTAGCCCAATTACACTTTGACCTTCTTTCAGCTGCTCGTCAGAGAACTCTCTTCTGTTCTCTTGGGATTTCCTAGTGGAAATAAGAAAAAATAAATCACCACACACTTTGATGACTCTACTGTTCAAAACATTTCTAATGTGAGCGAAGAATGTTATGTTGAGAAATCCTCGTTTTACAAAAAGATTTTTGGAAAAACTAGACACTGTAGAAAAAAGGCTTTGAATAACAACAGTGTTTATCTTGCATTCCCACATTCCTTGTTCTTGAAGAATGTGTATATTCGGTTTAAAGAACCCCTTAAGCTCTTTGTTGGTTCTTTGTGATCTTTGAGGTGCTGTTATAGCATTTTGTTAACATAAAGAGACTGTTATGGCCTTGTGGTTCTAAAGTAGTACTTTGTTGTTTTTAATGTGCTGTATACAAATGGTGGTCATTTAAATCATGCCAGAGTTTATTTATTTCACACATTTGGTTCTAAATAGCTCTTAGAATATAGAGATTACAGTGCCCTGTGTACAAGATTGTGATATAGTCTAAACACAAATATAAAGAAAATATCTGCCTATTTAAAGAATGCATGCTAAAAATGAGGTCAACCCAATCATGTTCACCCAAAACTGAGTTACATTAGTTTTGTTTTGTTCATCTTTAGAAGTTTTTTTTTTTTTTCAAAAAGAGAGCAAAAAGGCAGTGTGGAATT